GTTAAATCAAAATGATTTGCCAGGAAACGAAATCAGATCTTTAGTTGTTGTTGTTGTTGTTATTGTTCAGATCGGAAGCACATTTCAAATGATCATAATAATAATAATAATGATGATGCTAAATCGATTGATTCATTCATACAAACATTTCGATCTGATCTCTAATTTCTTTTCATTTTCTCACATATGTAGTTTAACAATGAATTGACGACACATTAATCTCGATAGAAATTTTAAGAAAGAACAAAAAAAAAAAAAACTTGATGAATGTCTGGCCAACAAAAAAAAAACAAAACGATAACAATGTTATTTTCAGCCAGAATTGCATTGATGATTGTAAATCAATGAAGATGAGATCATTGAGATCAAGAAAAGTAAGAAATGATAGATAAGAAAAAGAAAAAAGAAAGAACATTTATTTCAGATAATAATAATAATAACACTTTCAGATCAATCCAACTTTGATTCAAATGACAATCAAGATGTCTGTGATATTAAAAAAAAAACATTTGTACATTCATTTATAATCGGATTTTATTCGAAAATAATTGAAAAAAACTTTTAGTAATAAAGAAAAGATCTAAAATCGACCTGTTACGTGTTATATAAGAAAATTTCATTCATTGTTGTTGTATGTGAATACATAACTTTAATCAAACATAAAGAAAATAATTATTATTAGCTATAGCTATATGTTCATAAAAAAAGGTAATTCGTTAAACCTCTTTTGTCATCACTTCTATAATGGAAAGATTATGATAATAATAATAATATGCAAATGTTAATGTTTCATTTAAATTCATGTTTTTTTTACATCAACAACAGGTTCAATACGGTCTGCAGGTAACAGCGTGTTTTTCATCATCATCATCATCATCATCATATAATCATAATAAACATCATGCATAGTGAACATGCAACACGATCGAAACTATTTCAAAACTATTGATCAATTCGATCATCATCACCTTCACGAAATAACTTGTAACGGAAATTATTATTATTATCTCCTCACTCTACAAAAGGAAACAAATCTATACGAATAAATCAATGATGATTATTATATCAACATTTACATATATGAAATGTGTTTAGATTATCATCCGCATTCATCATCATCATCATCATAATGATCCATGTGGCTAGTGAAATTTGTTTGTCTCCTAATGTGGAAACAAAATCGATTTGGTTATGTTAATTATTATCATTTATCAATGCTATAACCACATTTTGTTTGAATATATATTTTTTTCTATTTCAATCTTATTGAATGATAATTGTAGGGAAAAATCATTTTGAACAACAACAACAACAACAAATGGATTTTTGTTTTGCATTTTATGGGTAAATATGGGAGGCTTCAAAAGATTATCATGCCCGTCATCATCATCATCATCATTGAAATGGTCGTTAGAATACATTCACGATTGCATTTATGAAAATGCATAAAATGAAAAACTTTTTTTTTGGCAATAAAATGGCAATCACATAACATAGATATCCAAATATCATTTCGGGTTATTTTGACATACACACGAATACAATTATAAAAATGGTTTCAATTTTTTCATGAATTCTAAAGAAATGAAAAATTCATAATATTGACAACGAATAGAAAAGACGATTTCCATTTTTTTTTTTTTTTGATTTTATTTTTGTCGAAAAATTTTCTAAAAACCTTCTATGATGAAAAAAATGAGGATATTGTATCGTTTATTTCTAATAATACTGAATAAGATGATCGTAACAAAAACAACAACAAAAAACTTTTGATTTCAAAATATATGGATTTGGCTATTGTTAAATGTTGGTCGAGATTTTTATTTTTATTTTATTTTCATTTCATTTTTGCCATTCATCACCATCAAACGATATAATATTCCATTCATTTTTTTTACAGATTCCAATTTCGTGGATTTCGTTTTGAAATTTATATGTGTGTGTGTGTGTATGTCAGATTAACAACATCAACAAACACATTGATATGGTCGAGATATCAACACACAAATAAATAAACATGATCCTGATCGAGATTACGATCATCAACCACCGGCGAAAATAAAAAAGGTCTGTTTTTTTAAATCCAACAAAAAAAAACGATATCATCAACATCTTTTGTATCTGTCTAACCGCAAATGTTCTTTTACCCAACTTTGGTGATGATTATGATATATTTTTATATATTATAGACTTGTTGTTGTCGTTTGATATGATATGATAACAATAGCTGGTAGATTTTGGATTGATATGTCATTAAAATTCATTGAAGAGAGAGAGAATTTATCATTTGATATATATTACCATGACCAAAAAAACGACAATAATGATGGAACATATTAAAATAGATGTTTCGAAACATTTTAAATCTGAATAAAAAGGGTGAAAGTTGAATTAAAATTTTCTAATGCCCATAGGTTATATACATTACGTTATTGTTGTATACAAAAGCAAAAGGAGAAGTGGAGAATGTTATTTATAAACATTTTTTTATTATTATCATTATGGGAGTTACACACACACAAATCATAATAATAATCATCATCATCATCATTATTGTTTTATTGAATATTTGGTAAACCTAGCTTAATGGCATTACCATTCTCTCTCTCTCTCTCTCTCTCTCTGTCTCTGACTCTTTCTTCTTTTATATGCCAGAAGCTCTTTGATTGTCATTCTTATTATATAACATGCCATTTTAATTTTTTTTTTTTTATTTTTTTTTTGATGCATCATTTATTATTATTGTTATTGCTGTTTTTTGTTTATGTTTAATGCAATCTCCATGACATATTTATATATATGACAAATATACATGGCCATAGGTCATAGGTCTTGTATAGAAATGGCTTTTTTTTCTCGTATACAGCAAAATCAATATACACTATACATAACAAAAAAAAATTCGGTCATTCATACACAAAATATCAGGAGACCGGCAACAATCAAATTGTCCATTGAATATTAAAATAAAAACAAAACAAAACAAAAAATTCAGGTCGAATTTGTAATTTCAATTTTTTTTGTTGTTTAAAAATTTTTATTTTTTACAATTTCCTTCGAAATGTATACTGTGATTTTTTTTTCTTGGTTTTTGATTCCTTTTTTTTGTATTTCTAAATTTAAATTTTAATCTAAAATTGATTGATTCCAGATTAGCAGCATAGGCTATCCGATTTCTTTTTCATCATTATCGATAGATTTTTTTTTCTCCATCATCATCATCATCATCATCTTCTGTTTCTCAATCACCATGATCACTTTTCAATTAGAAATCAATCGAAAATTTGATTGCTTGAATTCAATCTTGTTCTAAATTTTATTTTTTTTTGTTCACTATTCAAAAATTGATGAGATTTAAATGAGATCGCGAACATGATCAATGTATTGTATCGAGACACATTTTTTTTTGTATTTACAACGATCGAAAAAAAAATCGTGTGTATTATCACTAGAAAAAAATAATGATTTTCATCATCATATATCAGATTTAGGCAAATTGATGAAAAAAAAAAATTTTTTTTGAAATTATTCCGAGTTCAGTGAAAGGTTTATTTTTATCCATATGATTAAATTGGATAAGAAAAAATGATGATGACAAATGTGAAATATCACATTTTTTGTTTCATTTTATCGATTGATTAATTTTTTTTTTGTTAATATGAAAAGAAAAACTTTGAAACTTTTGAAAAAAAACATTAATGTATATATATATGAATCCAGGATTGTGAATAACAAAAAATTATAAAATGTCACTCGTACACAAAAAAAACATTCATGACTTACTGACTATATATATTACACATATATAAATATAAATTTCAATTGGAACAACAAAAGACAAATGATTTTTTTTCTGTTGTCATTGATTGTTACATTGTTTAGTCATAGTCATTCATTTTCATAATTATTCATGCGTATCATTTGAACTAAGATTGAAAAAAAAATCTTAAAGGGAAAAGAATTGTCAACAAAACAAAACAAAACAAAACGGAAAAAATTCTATATCAAGCCTTGTGGATAAATTCATTGACAAAATATATGGATCAAAACGAAAAAAAGTGAGAGAGTGAGAGAATGAATGTTTTTCAGAAATCAGATATCAAATTGTTTTAGATCTCATTTCATCTACCCTAGTTCATTCACTTATTCATTCACTTATTCATTCATAATCCATTGTAATGTATGGCAAATGAAAAACCGAATATTACATTCATTAAAAAAAAAATTTGTTGTGAGATAATGCATTATTATCATAACATAATCAAAAGAAAAAAAATCATGATGATGGTTCATCGAATTAATTTTTTTTTTTTTTTTTTACTAAAGTGAATATGAAAAAGAAAACTAGAAAACTAGATCAACAGGTGAACTCAGCTCTGTCTACTATACATCCAGTGGATATGAGAGAAACCTCACCACATTGGCGGGATGTGTATGTGTGAGAGAGAGAGAGAGAATCTTTTTCCAATATAAAAAAAAATATTTGTAAAAAGGAATAGGATGGAAAGTAAACATAAACACAGGTAGATGTGTGAATGAATGAATGAATGAAATGAAACGAAAAAAAAATTTGTTAGTAAACGTTACAGTTGAATGAAGAGAATGAGAAATAGAGAAAATAAATGTATGAGAAAATCGAATGAATGAAAGAAAGAGAGAACACAACAAGAGAGTTGATCATCATAATCATCATCAGAAGAAGAAATCTAGTTTGTCATATGTTATATGATTTAGTCGACCATTTATGTTCAATCGTTCCAATGGAAATGATCAACACAATTCAGAATTGAACATTTGTTGTGTAAATGTGATTGATCGTGAACTAATAATAATAATAATATTAATATATAATAATATTCTCGATGAATATCTAATTATAAATAACTTTGATATTTGATGATTTTGTTGTGATTTGTGTGATCAGTTTCAATGATGGACTCTTGATGTTTTCCAACTTTGTTCATTGCAACACTAAAACAACAAATAAATTTTCAAAACATTTTTTTCTGAATTACGCAAAACAAACGATTCAAAAATGAATTTTAAGAAGAATAAAGATGTTAAACGTGCATCATATTATGTATGGTTTTTGGGAGCCAAAGAATCAAAAGGTTTACGTGGTGATGAATATGTACAACCAGTGTTGAATTATCTAATTGATAATGAATGTGATTTAGAGCCATCAAAAGTAACCTTACAGATTTCATCAAAAGGATTGAAAATCATACAAATATTAACGATACCAAGAAAATCTGGTAAACTAAATCCAGATCAACAATTACAATTATTTGTAGCAACAACCGGTAATTCGGATCCATTGTCATCATCATCATCATCATCGGTGATGAAAAGTGAACAAGTAAAACATCATATACCACATGATTCAATTTCATGGGTTTATCAAGAAGATGATGTTATCTGTGCCATATTATTATTATACAATCCAATCACTCGTTGTCCGGTTCATATCCATGCTTATCGTTGTGATTCGATTCAAACGGCAAATAATCTACACCAACAATTACAAACATTAATCGATCGACCGGAAAATCAGAAAAAATTTCGTGAAATTGAAATGCGTTTAGCGGCAAAAGGATTACTAATACCACCACCATCACAATCATGTGGTCCATTGCCACTTGCACCATTACCGTTACCTCCATCATCTAATTGTCATCATCCTAGTTCATTATTCGATGATTGCTCTGATCCACGTGGATCCATGCCATACGATCATCATCATCATCATGATCCACTATTAAAACGATCATATCAAAGTAATTCACCTTCAGCAAGCAAAACATTGAATTCAGATGGCCGTTCTACACATACGGACGGTTCCGATGAAATAAATTCAGAAGAATCAAATTCTTCTGATCTAGGTTATGCTATAAATCGTTCATCATCAAATAGAAATAATAGCGAATATCGTAGTGATTCTAAATCATTCAGTCATCATCAACTTTTTAATCGATCATCATCATCAAAAAATAAATCGGCAAAATGTAGTTCTAAAATCATACAAGATGATGGTGAACAATCGAATCTATTTGATTCATTGGCGGCTGAACTTCGTGCCAAATTGGGTAATCCCAAAATGGGTCCATTATTATTACCGCCACGTGATTATGAAAGCCGAAATTCCGAAAATAATTTAAAATCTATGGATAAAAAACGAAATCAGCATGATAAACATTCAGCTCATCATTTAACAAGGTCCGAATCATCGGGTAAATCAAATTCAAGTGGTCTTGGGTCAGATGAAGCCTTATGTAATGATCAACAAACAGCCAGACCACGTTCATATTATTTTGATTCATGTTCACCGGCCAACGAACCCCGTTTATCAAATCATCATCAGTCATCCTATTTAGAACATCGATATAATCGTGAAACATCGGCCGATGATTTAGTCAGTCGTCATAGTGATAGTTCATCATCATCAGATGATGATGATGTCGATGTTGGTGGTGGTGATGTCAATCATCATGAAAGATTAAATAGTAATCATGGTTCAATGGTTGATTGTTTAGAGGTTGATGTGGAAGATTTCGAAGAAGATGTCATATTTTCCACAACAATTCCATCCATACACAAAGAATCAAGATCTCGTTCAAAATCAACATTCGATTTGATCAAACAAAGACCGATGATGCCAACATCACAACAACAACATCAAAAACTGTCATCACCTACATCATGTAATGATAATGATTTCGATGTCATTAGGACACGGCAACGATTACCAAATCAACACGTGCAACAACAATTTTATAGAGAAAAGCATTTATTTCATCCATCATCATCACCATTGACAAGGACAAAAGAACATAATAACAACAACGGTGAACAAACGGCGGCAACTAATCTCCATCATTTTGGTCGTGGTCGTGACGATCATCATCATCATCATCATTATCAACAACAACAACAACAACAACAACATGCTACTTCGGATAAATTGAATCCTGATTTTTTGCCCACATCATATAATCATCATAACAGTAGTAGTAGTAGTAGTAATAGAAAGAAATATTATTCTAATCCAAATCTTGAACCAATATCGAGTTCAACAACGGCCATACAACAGCAACAAAAACGGCCAACAATAACAAAAGAGGTCAATAATAAAATCATGCGACAACAGATAATTAATGAAGTCGACAAATCTTTGACAAACACGACAACAACATCGGGTTTAATTTCATCATCATCTAGTGTAATCGGTAGACGTGAACAACGATTCATTAATCCTCATCATCAACATCATCGAAATGAGGAAAATAATCATTCTCGATTAGCAATTACAAACAAATCAACAAAACAGCCAGCACAAAAATTTTATTTTGCTGATGCAGAATTTTCATCAAATTTCAGAGATATACAACATGAGAATAATCATTGTGCATCATCGTCATCATATCAACGTGGACGATCAATGGGTCGGCTAGATCAATTATTGGCAGTAAATTCGAATGAAAATGATCATCATCATCATCAACATTCGGATAATTATGGACCCATGTCATTGAATTTTCAATCATACGATAATCATCGAGCAACTATTATTGCCGATATGAATGATCGTTCAATTTCACCATATTATGTTCTACAACATCAACAGGCTCCATTGTTATCATCATCATCATCAACACCACCATTACCGCCATTATTATCATCATCAAAGAATTTGAAAAAAGATTTAATTAGTAAAAGATTTGAAACACCATCTTCAGGCAAAGATGATAATAAACGCAACATAAATCGAACATCACAACAACAACAACAACAATTTAAAGATCATCAACGACGAATGATGTTCGATCAGCCATTTTCAAGATATTCATATATTGATATGCACGATGATCGTATTGAACATGAAAGATTTGCAGCCCTAATGATGGCGAATCGTAACAAAAGATGATCACTTTTTTTTTAGTTTAGAATATAAACTTTAGATGTTGACCAATTTAAATTTTTCTTTTTTTTTTTTTTTTTTTTTTGATTGAATAATTTTATTATTTATCAATTTTTTTTCATGGTTAAGCTTTGCTGGCTCATTGAATATTGATTTTTTTTCCGTTCATATTTAAATTTGTTTAGAAATGATAATTATTTATTTAACAATTTTTTTTCTCGGCCAATCATGTTTGTATAATATATTGTGGTTTTAATATTTTTTTTCAACTAAATAAATTTTACACATTGATAAATGAATCATAATGAATGAATTCCAAAAGATTGAATTTCAAGCCTGACAAACAAAACAAAACAAACAATGTTGAATATCCATGACGAATTTTTTTTCTTCTTCGTTCTTTCGTATTCATGATGGGCAGAAGTGGAAAACAAAACAGAAATAACTATTATTAGTTTTGAATAGTTACAAATATACAAACGTTGTAAGACCATTTATAAATATCGAAAATATAGATGAGGACTAACGAACGAAAAAAAAAATTTGACATTTTCAGGGATCTGCCCTCACAGTATAACGACATGGCTGAAATAAGAAATGACATCATCATCATCATCATCATAGCATTATTATGGATGTCTGTACTGGCAAATATTACCATCATCATCATCATCATCATCATCATCAGGATCCTGGTAGACAAACAATGAAAAAAATAGCCAAACAAATAAGAACGAACCACGCCGCATCATATACTTCATGATGATGATGATGATGATGATCAATAATCCAAAAAAAGTCTAAGAAAAAAAGTAAAAAAAAAATTATTAAAATGATTGTAGCCACATGGATGGACTAAAAATAAACATCATTATCATCACCAAATGATAAGACCGTCGATTTTTTCATAATCTGTTGGTCAAATCAACAACAACAACAACAAGCCATCATCGATAGAGATTGATAGAGATGGATAGATTTGACCATATATTCGAATCTAAAAAAGAAAGAATGAGATACTCCTCAGTAGATGTATTATTATATCTTCATCCTAATACTGATAACAAAAAAAAACCGAATATCGATTTAAGGCAAAAATAATTTTTGTCTCGTTTTCATCATCAACATGGTTTCATTTCATGGTGATATAACATAAAGACGGATATGTTTGATTCATGTTTTTCTTTTTTAATTTGGGTTTTTTTCCTCATTTATCGTCATGACATTACCATGATAAAAATCTTTTTTTTTATCTGAGGAGGTGAGGGACAAAAATGTTTTAATTTCCGGATGCATTTATATTTGTTTTCTTCCTTCTCTATTGATTATGATTTTAATGTTATGCATCGATTCGATCTGAAATCGATTTGAACAATATTTTTTTCTGTTATGATATAGTAGATGGTATTTTGTTGTAACTAAATAATGAACAACATACTACACAGGTTATCGAACATTGTCGTCAGCGGACATGATGATGATACCGGGAAAACCACTATTATTATTTTGCATTTAATACATACAAATAAGCAAAAACATCGTTCACGTTGTATGTCGATCATCGAATAACATTGAAAAAAAGGGGGCTAGACAAGTATTAGAGAAAAAAAATTTCGGACAATGAATGATGAAGAAAAAAATGAAAGAATTGCTCAACATTGTCTTTCCCTTTACATAATAAATATTCAAAACATAAACTGAAACAAATTTTTCCTGCTTTTTTTTCTTTTTTTTTGTTCTATATATTGCAACAATAAATGTAAAAATATCACAGGTGTATTCGTTTTATTCAAATTCATGCATGAAAATTTGTATATGCCAAAAAAAAATGGAAACAAAACAAAACAGACAGGTACATTTTGTATAATGGATAATGTGTTACAATTTGTTCATCAAAACTATTTCAAAATGGATAATTATTTACAAGTAAAAACAGGTGATGTTTTCGGTCAATTTTTTTCCCATTTGAAATGATTAAAAATTGATTTGATATTCATTCATTCGAATCGGAATCAAACGAATAATTATTTCTTTTTTTCAAGATTTTGATTGATTCGATCTTACAAGAAAGAGACAGAGAGAGAGAGAGAGAGAGAGAGAGAGAGAGAGAAGAAAGAAACCGCTTTAACCAATGAGCAATTCGATTGATGATGGTGGCACGGATTTTCAATTAACAACAACAACAACAAAACCTTTATTCGACAAATGAAAAATTATTCAATTGAACTTGATCTTTTTGATATTGCGCCAGAAATTGAAACAGGAAAATAAAAAAAAATTGTTGTCGAAGTTACGAACATTTTTTTTATATATACGACCGACAATCATTGAAAAAAAGAAGGATAACTGGATTCGAATTTTTGAGCATGGTTCTTGTATTTATATATATTACAACTGCAAACTTGTTCGTTTGTTGAATAAATAATTTGTTCTCCATACACACATAGACAACAACAACAACAAAATTTCTGTGGTTCGATGCTATGTGGTCAAGGTAAAAGATCAACAAGTTTTTAACATCATAACCATGCATGATCATCAGATTCCAGGTCACATCACAACAACCACCACTATCAACATCAACATCACCATGGATCTAGTAAATGAAGAATCCTTTTTTCAAATAAACAAAAGAACTATGTTTTGCTATAGCAGACAACCATAGACTTGTTCATGTTCTTGATGACCCATTAGCGTTTCGGTTGATTTCCATAACACAAACATACATCTTATACAACACCAAAAAAAAAGAGAAACTTATCGGCGAAGACCTCCTTATGATCCTCATAAATCAGCCATCAACATACTATACAGTTTATACATTGACCTACCGCGGCCATCTAAATAATAATAAGACCGGAATTATTTGTTTATCATATGAATGTGTATGAACATCAACAACAGGATTGTTGTCGCTCAAGATTATAATATATTGATATAATGATGATGGTGGCTGACCTTATTCACTAACTAGGATGAATTAGTTGGCACAATTCTGTTTATCATCACAGTCAAAATTTTAATAATAATCAAGATATGAGATGAGGCTATGATTTTAGTAAATAGGGGCTAAAAGAATGTTTTAAATATTCAAAGAATGCGGAAAAATCATATCGTGAGTTTAGCGAGTTGTTAATATTAAAAAAAAAAATCCATTTCAATTAATTTATTCATTCTATGTAGTTTCAGATAGTTGAATTTACTATCACAGAAATAATTAAATAGATTGAAATGCCATACGGGAACAATACAATTTGAATGATAATTCCAAAATGAAATAACCAAATGTAATATTACTACGATCATGGATTAAATTTAATATATCCAGAAATTTGAGAAGTTTTGTTGTTTGGGAAACAGTCGACATATTAAATAAATAAAAATATACTAAAGAAAAAAACAAATCAATGATTCGCTTCATTAGTTTTTGATCTTTTCTCTTTTTTTTCCACTTAAAACGGATATATATGTAAAGTATTTGGCCATTATTTTTTGTTCTCTGTTTCCTTTATACAAAAACAAAAATTTGTTTTTTTTCCTTGATGAACAAAAAAAATTGATCGAAGAATAATCATCAAACTTCCTAACAAATGAAAAAGTTCAAATAATTCTCAAATCTATTTTTGATGATTTTTCAAATGCTCTTCGTCATTACTTACTATTATATATGGTATTATTATTATTGTTGCGTGTATTCATAATGAAATGCATGAAAATGAAAATTCGAATTTTACGATTCAATCAAATATTGATTGATTGATTGATTTGATTGTTGTGTTTTGATGATGGCTGATGCTTTTCGTGATTGGTGACTTATTATGATATATATCTGACCAAATGAAATTTCACTAATATATTTAGCTAAATACTTTATTCACTGAACGAATATAATGATAATGATGATGATGATGATAATCATTTAACTTGTTGTATGACAAATAGAGAAAGCAAATCGGAAGCAAATTTGACAACCAAATAATAATGGTGGTAGTAGTAGTCTTTGTATTTTTTTTTTTTGTCTTTTTTTCTTCCTTTTTTTTTATCGATCGAATAATTTCTCGAGCATTTTTTTTGAACGTTGCTGTTGTTTGTCAATTCGATCACAATCAAACGTGGTATGATTTTTCACTTTCATCAAGATTATAAAAAAGGTGAAAAAATCAGGAACAGCAACGAAAATGAAAGATTGACAATCCTAAATAGAAAATTTTCCTTTCATCATTCACACAATATGATTATAGTTATCATTGTGGTTGATTAGAAATTTTTTTGTTACTCGGTGTTTGTGTATCCTGTGTGTGTGTTTTGAATGACCTATTGTATTTGTGTGTGTGTGTGTGTGGACAATTTTCATTTTGTTTGTTTCATTCAACAACGAAATTCACGAAAGGAACAATCTTAGTTCATTCATTTTGATACATTTATACGCAAACATTGATGCGCGTGATGGAATGATTTTTTTCAGTGATGATGTGTGTGAATCCTTTTGCTTTTTCTCTGATTATCATCATTATCATTATTGTTATGGTGATGATCATATATATGATAATCACCATCATTTTTTTCTGATTGGATAAAAAAAATGATAATAAACTAGTTTTTTTCAATGTCTCATTGGTGATGACAATGTTCATCATTGTTTATCAGTGAATACAATGAAAAAACGATTAAATTGAGTTTGGTTCTTTTGTGTGTTTGTTTGTGTATGTAAATCTTGTAGGATTCTTAAGTCTAAAAAACATGTTTTTTAAAAAAATGATTATTTGAGAATTTTATCGCTTTTAAATTCAAATGCTATCCATTGTAATGGATTTTTTTTTAATTAAAAAAAAACTTATCATTTGTTTGTTCATTTCCTTTTATTTCAAAAAAAAGATTACATAGTAAAAAAAGTATTTTTTGTGTGGAATATAGTCGTAGTACACGCAATAATCGTGAGTACTCGCAGTAATTTTGTGTAAATAAAAATTTTCGATTGTTTAATTATCCTGGCAAGATGGACCAGCGATATCCTGGCTAGATGGACCAGCGACATCCTGGCTAGATGGACCAGCGATTTCGTCGGATCTGTAAAACAAATTTATTTGAATTAAATAATTAAACACAAAAGACAGATATTATAAATTTATTTACGTTAATTGTTGATAAAGTGCTGTATGCTTCATTTCGATGTGTCTTTTCAAGCAACTGAGATTTGACAGTTTTGTTTCACAGCCTTCAAATCCACATATACCTTTCGGGAAATATTTGTCAATTTCTTCCGCCGTCAGTTTGCCAACATTTCGTCTCAAGATATTGCTTCGTTGGTTCAATTTTTTCTCGAGTTCAGCAAATGGTGAGTTTTTCCAGTTTATTCTGGGCATGATTGATGAATTAATATTCGAAATTATATCACGTTGACTATATTGATAATGGATGGACAATAACAACGAAATTATTTGACTTTGATTTGCAAATTAAAATTTAAAAAATATTTAAATTAACAAAATGAAAATCGAAAAAAAATGAAATAAATAGCGTACATATGATACTGATATTCGGGTTCTATGTTTCCTTTAATCACGTGTTTACTCTGTCGTTTTGATTTCGTATATTTGTAATTTGTTTATACAATACAAGTACTTTTATTTGCAGAGTGTAAACACAAAGGATTCTACATAAAATCAACTTATGCACGGCGATTTAAATCGTGTCGATAAATAATAAAAAGAAATAATATTCAAAACAAATATTTTTGATGAACGTACAAAAACTTTCATTTCATTTGTTCTTTGTTTTTTCATGATTGTCAGATTTTTTTTTCTTAATAATCATTCAAATCACGAAAACATATATACATGATTCATAATGGTTCATTTTATTTTGTGGTGAACATCTATATTTTATTTTTTACCGACATCTGTATGATGTAGACAATTCATTCATTTTAATTATCATCTATATATGATGATGATGATGATGAGATCCATAATTGGATACCAGTCATAATTAAAATTAATTGAAATTAAATGTGTGAATGTAGAATCTAATCTTGTTAGTAGTTTTGGGTGATATGTTTGTTTCTCAATTTTTTTTTGTTTCATTTCCATTAGATTAAATGAATGAATGAATTTATCGGATGTGAATCATGCAAGGAAAAGAAAACCACAAACTCGAGGTATTTTTTTTCGTTGGGAAAAAAATTTTTTCTAATTTATCTGTTTATTTACAAGTAGTAGACATTTAGATTGTTGTCCATATTTTGGGCGCTGTCCAGTACTTTACTAGATATTTTGTGTGTGTGTGTGAACAAAAAATTTGACAAAACAACAAATTGTATATATACAAACGATGATCAAGTGTGAAATGTTTTTTTGTTTTGTTTTGTTTTGTTTTTCTATCCTGAATGATAAACACTTCCGTTCTGTTTAAAGAACAAACAAACAAAAAATCCATATGACATATCTGAAAATAACTGAAACAAACTGTTAATGTTTCAAGAAACAACGTAAAAGAAAATCATTGTTTCTTCTTTTAAGGCCAATGATCTGTCGGATTCTATATATCCTGCAAACATGGTAGTTCAATCACAAAGTTTTTTCCTTTTTCCTGATAATGAAATCATCAATCAATCAATCAATCAAATAATTCTCATAATGATAAATGTTCATGTTAATTAAAAACAATAAGTTTATGTGATGGATAGTAAATAAAAATCTAGGTTGAATATGAATTAAATATAATCAAGGAAAAAATCATTTTCAATAGGCTAGGCTTAGGCTTGTTTGATTCATCATCATCATCATCTATGATGATTTTGTTTTTTACTTTTGTTATTGTTGTTGTTAATATATGAATTTGGATCGGTGACCAATGATGATAATGACGGCAAGCCAATCCCATATGTTCTCTTAATCTTTTTTGGTGAAGGAGGAATTTTTTTTTTTTTTGCAATCATTTTTATTGTAAAATTCGTTTGAATAAATCAGCTATTCGGATGATATTTTAAATCAATCGATTTAATTTGTTGACGATTGATTTTTTTTTGTTCTTCTATTGCTGAATAATTGTCTAAACACGAATAAAAAACACTACACTAAATGTGGATCTGTTATTTCGATAGAAAGGTCAACAATCAAAACTGAAATTCAATCGATCTCATATCAATCATCATCATCATATGTGCGTACACATTTAGATTATAAATCTTTTTTTTGATTTGATTGAATCAATGATATGATTTATTCCATTCATCCACTTTTTATTATTATTATTATCATTGTCTTTTCATTCAAACAAAGTGAATTGTTTATATTAAACGAATCGGATTTTATTTTTGTTTTCTTTATGACTTTTATTGATGTTTCAACAATTTACAAACACACATACACACACACAATAGGGAAAATGGACCGCTTATGATGAATTTAACAATTTTTCAAATCATCAAATAATAAATAAAAGCATCACATCACAAATTTGTATCAACAACAACAACAAAAACTAAAGTTAACGAGAAAAAATGCGAATTTTTTTTCCGAAGTTAAATTTATCGAACTAAAGTAAATCTTTTAATCTTTTTTTTTTGCTTCAATCTTAAATCTAGTGGAAAAATGAAAACAAAAATCGAATAAAAGACCAAAAATGGGAACACATAAGTAATCAACAAAAGATTTAACACACATCAGCACACACTTTTATCTACGTAAAAAGTTAGGATAAAATTAATTTTTGATAGATAATCGAGTTCGAATTGACATCAATCAGGTTAATGATCAGCACACACACACACTCATACACAGTGAAGATTGATTAACACAGACATATCAAACGTTTTTTTTTTTTTTTTTTGTCACCAAATCAAATTAACTTTCGTTCAAGTAATTCAGTTTTCCAAATCACCTTTAATCAACCAGCTATAATTCATATTTCTTTTTTTTGTTCTACATTATCATTTTGACCTAATCTAATTAAAAAAAACTATTTTTTTCTGCGCTATAAAACAAGAAAGAATTTTTAGTTTTGGCGACAAACTATAATTCATTTATGTCAACCTTCAAATGCCATCAAAAGTTATTTTATTTTTTTTTTTTGAAAAATGATCATTGAAATATAAATCTATCGATTTTCGATTAACATTTGACATGGATCATTTCTATTGGATGATTATAACATTCCTAATGTGCTGTGCAATAGTGAATGCAATTAAAATAGCGGTCAAATCTTGTTGTTGTTGTTGTTATTGTCAATGTTGATCCTCATCATTATCATCATCATAATCATAGTATACGATGATGACATGTGTGTATAATTATAACATGTATTGCACACGATTATTATATCATTGTCATGACATTTTATTGAACAAAATATCTTGTTTTTGAACATACACATACACTCAAAAAATCACTTAGACCTTGTCATATAGTAGCAATTATAGAAGGACATATATGTTGATTATGATAATGATGATAATGATGATGATGAACACACCAAACAAATTCATAACTAAAGGATGTTAAATATTACAACAAACATAAATCGAAAGAAGAATTGTATTGTATTGTTCATCATCTTAAAAGTCATGATTATGATGATGATGATGATACAAGTTACTAGATTAATTAGATTTTTTGCCATTTGGTTTAGTTTATTCATCATCATCATCATCATCATATATGAAAATTCACCAAATGTTTTCATGAACAAATTTTGATAACTTATTATTATTATTGTTGTTGTCACTTCAATGAAAATTTCCTATTCATTTTTTTTCATACTTGACCTTTTAATGTCATTATTGGGAAAATCATGTTTTGTTTTCAAAGGCCAATTTCAAATAGGGAAATATAACGGATGTATGATGAATTCAATCTGGTTAATATATATTATGATTATTTCAATTATCACATCATTATCGGCATAATCGATTCTTAGTTCATCTAATCAAATATGAAAACTTTTTGTTAAAATTAATTTCCTCTTGATCTAAAGACTGTGTGTTAGCAAATAACATCTCTCACGTCATCAGTATTTTGAAATCATTGTATGGTAGATATGATTTGCGTTCATGAGTTTTTCGTATAAAAGACATACATTTCTAAATTCCTTTCTGATTTGTAATTTTCACATAATCTTACTATCTTATTAAAGCAATTACGAGGAAAAAACATTGATGATGATGATGATGATGTAATGGAAAAAATGTTATTTTCTCTTTCATCCTAGAATATCGACTATCTATTTGTATGTGTGTGTGTGTGTGTGTGTGTGTGATAATTTAATTTCCAAATTCAAATGACAACGACACATTTTGATCGTTTTTTTTCTTTTCGTTATTATGAGGAAAAACATGAAAATCTAAAATAAAATCAATTTCAAACGAAACAAAAAGGAACCTCGAATAGTAGTTATTCTTTTTTTTCGAAAATGAAAACAAAACTGGTCTACATGTGTGTGTGTGTGGCGCCATTATGTTGATAATGATGATGATCACTAAAAAAAAAAAATATTCCCACATGACATTTACACTCAGAGATTCAATTCCCATTCGTATAGAAATGAAATGAAACGTAACGACAAAAAAAATGATCATTTTTCATTCAAACCTTGCCTATTCAACACACTTATTTTCATATATGATTCTTAATACAAAAAAAAATTTTATCCACGTTGATCAAAATCATCGTTGATATATATTATATATATGATTATAATGTTGTTATTACCTTGTTGCTGCTGATGAGAAGATAGCGAAAAAAAAAACGAAAAAATTTATTCATGAGCCAGAAAGAGAGAGAACTATATATAGAGGGAACAAAAGAACAAACTAAATCGAAATTGTTCACAAAAAGTTCTGTTATGTTATTGTAGTGTGTGTGTGTGTGTGTATATGTTTTGTAGCCAAGCGAATAATGTGGTCATCATTGGCTATTCAAATTTTGACACTTCAAGGGATATAATGAAAAATTATGAGAATTTTTTTTTTTTTATTTTATTTTTAAATCCAAAAAAAAAATTTCACACACACACAATATCTATGTGATACAATAACAATGATAATAATAATAAGAAATTTTTCATTTAAGAAAAAAAAAGAATTTCATATTGCAACTTTTTTGTTGTTGTTGTTGTTGTTGTTGCTATTTTACCAGCATATACAAATGACCAAAACTTTAAGCCAACCGGAAAGGCGTCAATCATGGTGACTGATGATGATGATGATGGTGAATCGAATCTTTATATGAAAGTTGATGAATAGACAACAACAACAACAAAAAAATCAAAATCATAATAATGGGCTCATTTTAAGCCATTGAATTTTCAAATATTACCAATTTATATATACAATGCACAAGACAATTGATCAATCGACCGAACGACTGACCAATCAATCAATCAATCATTCAATCAATTGGTCACAACATCATCAATGAATAAAAAAAAAGAAAAGCAAATTTGACCATTCAGAAATCTGTGTCCGATTTTTCGATGCTTTGATCCAATTATTATTATTATTATTGCTCCAACAATTTATAAAAAAATTTGTTGTTGTTATTGTTGTTTTTCTAAAGATTGGTCTTTTATTCGATCGTCAATTACCCTAAAGTCTCGTTTATAACGAGCATGTCGTTTTTTCTACAAAAAAAAAC